CACTCAACATTTGTTTTAGAATTACAATGTCTATTACAAGCATAGCTCTTGTCTACCAAAATATAAAACATCTAAAACAATATTATGCTGTATTAAGTTTTGAAATAAATTATTTGTTATTATTTCACGGTCAGGAAAATTTTTGTGAAAATCATTTAACGATGTTAACAAGTCCAATTATCGAGGGGAATTTATTTTAAATATGAAGAAATTCGGTCAAGCGGAGCTGAAATTTAAAAACAAAAGACGGAGTTACTCAATCTCGTCTAGAATTTTCATTCTTGTTTTAAAAATTTAAGAAATTTGCATCTAGTTGTATCTGTCTCTTAGTGATTCTTGAGGAATTTTGTGCAACTGTTAAAATTTCACGTTTCGTTGGGAAATTAAACATTAAATATAATATAAGGCTAACATAAACGAAAAAGGAAACTCCACACTTCTATACTGTTCTTTGCAAATCAGTTAAAAATATTTTAAAAATAGTATAAAATACAAAAACACATACATCTTGAAAATTATTTACTGTAAACTCACAACTAAATTAGAGAGATATTTCCTATATATTTTTTTCAATAATTATTGTTCAATATTTAATAAATTATTAAACATTCGTTATTATATTTGCTTCCCGGCTAACTGATAAAAACAATTACTACTCTTCCGAATTTTGTCGAATGAAATTTCGAACGCCTTTCTGGAATAGATCTTTGCCTAGAGTGTAATTGAACATCCGGAATACCAGTTCCGCTGGAAGAAGAAGAAGAAGGAAAAAAATGACATAATTAGTCTTATGCAATTAGAAGCAAATCGCTGAGTTAATTACACGACAATTTGCTTTCAATACCGGTATAAAATTAGTGGACGTTTCAAGCTGTAAATCTTGCTAAATGTTACTCACTTATTATGCAATAATTTTCGATATCGACGTTAAAAAAATCGAAATTTTATTAAACTCTTGCAACGGACTATTACTACGTACATAATGATTTAGGCCTTTGATATTTGTTACATTAACTTTGAGTATTGACTATAATCATATTGTACTATAAACTCCCGAGGTAGTGCCTGATTTTTAGCATTTAGACACTCTTTAGATTTGTTATTGTGTTATTCATTACTGATCTCAAGGTTCGACAGTTTCATTAAAGAAAAAACCTACTTTTCGCCGATGTAGCTTCGTTTCTGATACCACCGACCCTTGAGAAAGGTTCGAACTTCCCAAATTCGTAATAAAGTGAATATAACATAGTCATTGGCCATTTCCCTTCCATTTCGTCTGGATTGAGCTGTAACAAACACGTTGCTTCTCTGATTAATTTCTTAAGCTTCGTGTGTATATACGAATGGAGCATGATACACGTACATTGACCGTCGTCATCGAAGCTAAGAATGAATTGAGCGCTTTGTTAACAGGTGCATCGCTCCAGCGGAATGGTGTGATGTATTGACCGATCCATTGGTAGATCAATTCGTAGGCTGTGTTCCAGATAGATGGGCTGCTCAGTTCACTTTCTCTGTCAATCAAATTATTCTTATTTTAATTATTTAATTATTCTTATTATAATTAGCGAGATTCGTCTTATTTAACTCGAAATAATTTAATTCTACTGCTTCGAATTATCTTGTAGGTCGTGTAAAATTCGTCAAATACCTCCAACATTTAATCATCAGAAGAAGAAGAAGAAAAAAGAAAAACAATTTTGGAAATAGTGAATTAAATTTTAAATGTCACGTATTTCTTCGTGATCTCAAATTGTCAATGTCAAAAATTCTTGTACAAATAATTGAAACTGTGGACAGTTTTTATACATTTGTGGGAAATTTGAAAGTGCAAAATTGCACTTTATATGAAAAAATACATAAAATATTCAGAGTACAGTGATTTCTAGTACCTGAAGCAACTTTTTATCGAGGTTCTATTTTTTTTAATCACATTCTAAAGAATCTGAATTTACATGAAAATCCACAGTCTAATAATGTTTGTCATTTTCCTTGTTCAAGTGACAATGTTTGACGTTCAACTATGAGATACAAATTGTTCCTCACAAAAATATTTTACAACATAATTAGCGAGATTCATTTATTTAATTATATTCGTGCATAAATTATTGATTCTTTTTATACCAGAAATTAAACGTGGGTAATTTTAAACATAGTTTCAATTTTTGCTCGTTCTGCGGATTACCTGGTAGCTGTTGGTAATTAATCTAAGTATCCACGTGCTGTTATTCAAAGAGCAAATTGCAAATAAAACTGATTAATTAACAGCAAGAACATCAAATTTCGTAGATAATTTTTCACATGTTATTTTGTGAATTTAATTTCTATTAAAATGTACGTCTTACTCAAATTTCGGACGATTAGTATTGCTGTGTCTCGACAGTCGGTGATATCAAGTTCTATAAATTTTTTTTATACATTATGATAGGATTTTATTAATTACTTTTTCATTGACACATTTTTTTAAATAATTGTCAAATGGATATTCTGTGAAATTTTATTCCAGATTTCAATAAAATACTTACATAATTCGTAAAGTGTAGTAATTATATACTACACGTAATTTATCAGCTCAAGACAAACTGTTAATAAAAAAAAAAAAATTACAAAAAGATAAAAAACTTACTCTTTGAAGTAAAAAATAAATTTAAGTTTTGTCTATCAAATTTAACATTATTTTAGGACATTACTTTCAGAATTACAAATTATAAACATTTTCATTTAAAAAAGTAATAAAATGAAGATATAAATATATATTACATCCATGTATACAAATTTGACGAAAAAATATTTGCTAAAATTTGCTTAAATAGGAATATTTCACACACCATCTATTAAATAGGAGTATTCATAATTAATCACATTAAACAATATGAATATTTGTGCACATAAAAAAAATATATGTATATTTTATTAAAAAAATCTGCATCGACATCAAAAATTCTTTCAATTTCATAGACATCGTAGAGTTAACGATAATAAAAATATAATATAATAAAAAATGTTGTATTGTGCTATTGTCTTTTATTTTAATAAATTGAATAGAAACAAATCAAAGTTATGAGAAATCTGAATAAATTATTAAACCAAGTAAGAAATGGAATACTGACGTATTCGAGGTGATAATTTTTAAAAGAAATTTTTAGAAGAAATCGCATTTAGAAAATCGAAAGCTAGATATTTATCGAAATACAGATAACGCAAGTCGCCATAATACACATTTCTACCTTCCTATTCACTGTCAAATTCTTTCTTCATACCCTGCAACGCTTTGTCGAATTACAAGAAAATAAGGTTCCTTTTTCGAAGTTGACAGTGTGAAATTAACAAGCTTGTAAAAAGTGAAGTTCAATCAGTTTGATTGCTGAGAGTCTAATCATATCGCAGGCGTATATGCGTTAGCGTATATGACATTGAAGTCAGGGAATCGAGATATTTTATTTAGTATTTCTTAAAAATAGTCCGAGTCAGTAAATTTTTATTCCTTGTAGTTTACAAAATCTTGCCTGTCCAACAAAAACAAGAGTAAATTAAATAATATACATACTTGAAGAACATCAGGCCCCAACTGTCCGATGCTTTGGTAGCACCGTACGAGGGCACTGCTACCAAATCGAGTTTCGGTAAAACAATCGAGCTGTTGAAGTAGTCCTGTAAGTAATTTATAATCCTGACAACCTTGTCAGGAACGTCTGACAAAGAATCCAAGTACTCTTTTCGTCCCCACACGTTGACCTTGAGCTTTCTTCCATCCATTTCATTGACTTCCTGCGTGGGAGAGATGCTCTGGAAATCCGACACTATCAAAGCTAATTGGTACGTCGATATTTGCGGTGTCTTCTCAAAATGACCCCAAACCAAATTCGGGTCCTCGGTTCTGTGCAAGGAGAATATTTCTTTTTTCATCGTGGAATCTAACGCTCTTGATTTTTAATTGGAGAATTCAACGCTCTTGGATCGTAAGAAACAGTCAGAGAGCGGATTGTTTTAATATATTTTTACGAGCTTAATTTAAAAAAAAAAAAAAAAAAAAAAAAGGGCAGTTAAGGAAAATTTATTTCATCTGCTGAATATTGCAACGAACAACGTCTGTTCTTTATTCTTGGATGTTCTAATTTCTGTACCTTCAAATTTCTCATAATTGCGTAGTAAATGTCCCGTAATTGTATCGGTGTAATTAAAATTTACATAATGCTTTTTAGCTTTAAACAATTTTTGTTATAATTTGAATGTTGTTACAATTATATATCTTGTGCAATACGATACAAAGACCAATCCTTTTAGTATCGATAAGCGATTTTTCTTCTTACTTTAATACTTTGAACATTTTCTGCACATTCGAATATTTCGGCTTTTACACATATTTTCACACATTCTGTTTCCTACGACAGCAGAGTTCTAAATAATATATATAGAAAAATTGCAACGGGTCACCAAGATCCTTACTTGGTTTCAGTTTTTGAAAATTAGATCGAATCTGTTCGAAGATTTAAACGAACTCGGGTTACTTACGATTCTGTGGTACTTTTTAACGGAGTGTTCGAAAGGGCAGTCATGTTCTTTGGGCGTAAGACGCTCAGTTTGAAGGTCGCTTTGTAAGGAGGCTCGTCCATGCAAGGGAAGACAGTTTGTGCATTGTCCAATCTGAGGTTGGTAGCTACGAAGGAACTAGAGAAGAGAACAAGAGAAGAGAACAACGAGTGAGTGAGGGACTCGTTCCCCTTAATCACGAGCAATTGAAACCTCGTAATTTATAATTACTGTTTCTTTCCACTGGAGTCGGAATACTCATGTTTGAACAGACCGCTGGTCTCGTCGGTGGTCAGATTTCCGGTAAAAGTGAGATCTATCTCGCAGCTGCTACCGTTCTTCAACATCTGTTCGAGATAAATTGCGTAGCTCGATTGCCATTGATTACGACGGCTGACCCTCGCAACGTTTACATCCATCAGCGGCAAACCTTTCTCCCTTTTTTTTTT